CTTTTGCAGAGTCCTCCTGATAGATACAGAAATCATGTGCGTTATGGAGGTAATATCGGTAAGTTGTATGTTCTCAGGGGACAGGAAATAAGAAGTTACACTGATGAATCAAGAAAGACCTCCTGAAAGATCCCTCACTGCTTGTGGGCAGCTGAGAAAAACCATTGTATACAATAACCTGAAGTGTTTGCAACATAAATCTGATGGACCTTGTCAACTGTTTTGCAAAAAAACTAAATAAAAACAAACCCCCAAAATGCTTTATTAAAACAAGAACTCCAGATGAAATTCCTCCTGAAGTAATCTGTGCCTTAAAGATAATTGTTTACTCTGCCAAGACTCCCAAGACAAGTCCCAAAGCTTACCATGCCAAGACCCCCTCCTTTACAGAAATTCTGGAGTTATCCTGTGACCTTGGTCAAGGTGCTTAAACTTTAATTTTCAAAAAGATAGTGACTAACCTGAGTTTCAGTGTGGGGAGATTAAATCAAATCATATATGTAAAGAACTTACCATAATTTCTGAGATCTATTCACTTTAAATGGTACCTTATTGTCATACTCTTAGTATTAATATTTTTTATAAAAATAACACTACTCTTTGTTTTTATTATTGGTTGTATTTAGCTTGACTCATGGGATTCCCTTCTTCCTGCCCTATGTTACTTCTTGAGTTTTCCTTTTCTGGTTCTGATGTAGTTATACTACACAGGGGACATCCATACTTGAAACTGAGCAATTGAGAGTTATTACATGCACATTTGTAATGCTTCATATTAAGAATCACTGTATAACTACTTCAAATATGTATTTGACCCTACTATGTGCAAGTTTCTGTGCCAGGCAGTGTCATAGTTAGGTCAGGCCTGGTGTGTTTAATGGCATCAAGGTAGAAATGACTGAAGGGGTCAGGACCAAGGAATTAGATGTCTCCCTTGGATTGGAGTAGACTATGGTGAGGCAAACTTAAGTGTAGGTCTTGAAAAGAAGTCTGGTCCAACAAACAAAACATGATGATCAGAAGACCATAGCTACTAGTTCACTACCACCATCAACATCAGGCAATTGATAAAGTAGGTGAGCCAAGAACCCCAGTAAGCAATCCTGGATCAGCAGCAGGTCAACAATTGAGGTAGAGAGTTGGAATTCAGGATGTCTGCTACATGGCCATGTAACACACCCTGTCTGGTTACATAATCCTAGTCACTAGGTTGGAATAGAGTATCAAGAGCTAGTCTCTAATGTTGAGCATATAGAACAGTAGAAGAGACATGGATTCTAGAGTCAGCTGAAAATGGTTAAAACTCCACATCTGTTACTTATCTGCTAGATGACTTTAGACACATTAGCAATGTCTGTGAGATTTGATTTGCTTATCTCTAAAACAGAATATATATAATCAGTGCTTCATAATTATACTAAGAATTAAAGGAGCTAGACTATGCCTGATATTTTTGGGACTTCTCTCCTATTATTAATACTTACTAAAGTGGTGACCAGGTAGTATGAGCTTCAGTTTTGAGCTTTGGGTTTGAAGGTCTCTAGTCCCTGGGAAGGAAACTGGCAAGGGCAAGGCAGGGCTTCAGTCTTTGAATTAGCACTATCCTAGGCTGGTAAGAAGACAGGGACCTGTACTCTTGTACAGGTGGAAAAATACAAACAGGAATCCAACTATAAGGAATAATACTAAGTTCAAAATCCAGTCATCAGAACTACAGCACAAGACAAGGGTGGAATCATGAGCAAAAGTAACTTAATACTGAGTCTTTTGGCCCTGGTTAAAACTCCTAAGATCCCTCTTGACTTACAGGATCATGGTTTGTTCTAGAAATAGGGCTGAGCTCATAGATGAGTGAGTGTGGTAGGTGGGAGGAGGTGAAGGAGGAGGAGTGGCTTTAGATAAGGGATTCAACTGGAAACAAGGGAGGACCAAACATCAATATATAAGAGGGTGGTTTTTTTAATTAAAGTATTATTGATATACAGTCTTATATATAAGTTATATATATATATAATTTATATATTGGTTTCAAATACACAACACAGTGGCTCAACATTTACCCATATTATCAAGTCTGCACCCCCTCCAGTGCGGTCACTGTCCATCAATGTAGTAAGATGTTACAGAATCACTAACTGTATTCCCCGTGCTATACTACTGTCTCCATGACCAACCTATATTGTGATTGAGAATTATTGTGCCCCTTAGTCCCCTTCCCCCTCCTGCCCCCACCCTCCCCAAGCCCTTTTCCTTGGTAACCACTAGTCCCTTCTCATTGCAGACAGTGGTTTCATATTTTAGTACCCTGAAATAGAACTTACAGCAATTACTGAAATTTTCTGCAATGTTCAGTGTGGCATCCACTAGCCATATGTAGACATTGAGCCCTTGAAATGTGACTGTTATAAACAGGGACTCATTTTTTAGTTGTATTTAACTTATCCTACTTGGAGTTTCTTGAGCTTCTTGGACATGTATGTAATGTGTTTTAAACTTACCTTTAAGTTGTATATAATTTATCCTACTTGGCACTTGTTGAGATTCTTAGATGTGTAGATTAATTTTTTTTCATCAAATTTGGGGTGTTTGGGGGCATTCTTCAAATATTCTTTCTGCCCCTTTCTCTCTTCTCCTTCTGAAACTCCTGCTATATATATTTTAGTATACTTGTTGTCTTACAAGTCTGAGGCTTAGTTCATTTTTCTTCACTGTTTTTTCTTTGTATTTTTCATATTTCAGTCTCCATCAATCTATTTTCAAGTTCATGGATTCTTTCTTCTATTGTTCATTGAGCCTGTCTAGTGAGTTTTTCATTTCAGTTATACTTTTATTCTTCAGAATTTCTTAGTTCTTTTTTAAAAAATTACTTCTATCCCTTTATTGGTATTCTTTATTTGTTAAGACATTATTTTCATACTTTCCTTTAGTTCTTTAGACATGATTTCCTTTAGTTCTTTGACCACATTTAAAATAACTGATTTAAAGTCTTTATCTAGTAAGTTCAATGACTGGGCTTCCTAAGGGACAATATCTATTGATTGATTTCCTATGTATGGGTAATACTTCCTAATTTTTCTGCATGTCTTGCAATTGTTTTGTTGAAAATTGAACATCTTAAATAGAGTAAGCTCATGAAAGTAGTCTTTCCCAAAAACACAGGATTTGATTTGGCCTTAAGGGATTTTAAGGAAGTGTACTGAGGAAAAAGAGTAGCAATATTAACTGGTCAGGTAAATTATATGAGAAACAGCATGTTCCAGAGACCATGCTTAGGTAATATCTTTAACAGAGTTCAATAAGCTGCTAGATCAATAACAACTTTGGAAATTTGGGTTGAGGTCAGATCATGGAGACCCTCAAATTAATGCACTGAGATATTTTAAACTTGTGCAGAATGGGCAGCCATTGGAATTTTTTTTTAAAATGGCATTTAGTATATTTCTGGTTAGAAAAGTAAACACATTTAGGTTGATTTCCTGTTGGTTTTCAAAAGACAGAGGTTGCTACTTTCTTTCATTGATTTATAACATTTTTCAATTATAAAAGAACACATGTTTATTTCAGAACATTTCAAAACACAGAGAAGCATGAAGAAAAAAATAAAAATTGCACCTAATCTCAGACTGATGCAGGTTTTCCAACAAGAGATTAACATGATTAAAGGAGTATTTAGGGTAAATTAATCTGGTGATGGTGTGCAGAATAGAATGAAAGGGATCGGAGTTACCTAGTTTCTTCCAAAGCAGAGAGGTTAGTGAAATTTAGAACATCTTGGAGCCTGTCTAAAAAATCTCGAGCAATAGTTGCTACTTGGGACCCATGTATAGGTTAAATATTCATATAAGAAGTGTGTTGTTCCAAATAGGCCACTGATATCATAACTCTTCCTAGAATATCTTCTATGCTGTGTGTTCAAAAACAAACAAAATCCTATATTTGACAATATATGTCCAAATTAACATTTCACCCAATAATTCCATTCCAAAGAATTTATCTTAAAGTATGCTTACCAATTGCCCAAAGTTCTGTTTATCAGATGTTCATTGAATATTGTTTAATAGCAGGAAACTTGGAAATACTGTTAATAACAATCAAAAAAGGAGTTATTAAATACAATGGAACAATATAACACTTAAAGAGAAAACAATTACTCTTTGTGTACTAATATGGAAAGATTCAGAGCAGCATGATTATCATGACCTGATTCATTCATTCACTTGACAGTTATTGAGTCTGGCACTATACTAGGCACTGAAAATCCAACAGTCAATGTCCCCATGAAGTTTTCATTATAGAAGGGGTGTTGTAAAATTCATGTAATAAGAAAGCATTGTATCAATTTAACTCATAAAATAATAGTTTGTAACTATCAATGGCATTTTAGGTTTTAACAGACAAATTAAATATATAAATTAAATTATAATCATAAATTATAATATGTAATAAGGATAAAAAATAAAATTAAAGTAAGGGAATTAATAGAATGAAGAGTAGAAACAAGAAGAGCTGCCTTAGAAAAAGATGACCTCTATGAAGAGGTCACACCAAAGCTGTGGAAAGGACTAATCATCAGTATAATTCTAGAAAATTGTAACTTTCTGTATGACCTGATTTATTTATTTATTTATTTATTTATTTATTTATTTATTTATTATTTGTTTTCAGTAGAACTCAAATTGAACTTTATTTTGCAAGTTAAATTTCCCACTTTTTAGATTCTAACAATTCAAAGATATGCAGAAACTTCCCCTTCATTTATCAGAGAATAGGGTACTTTGTAATTTGATTCTGAATCTATAATGCCACATACCACTTCTTTGACATTTTTGCATCTGTTATTATTAGTCCTAAAAATTCTGAAGACTTTTCTCTAACTTCTCCAGTTTTATACACACCTCAGAATTGAAACACCAATTTCTACAATCTTGGGTCAGAGGATTTTCTAGGATGTAGGTAGATTTTAACTACATAGTTTTTGTTGTTGTTGTTATTAATCTACAAAAAATATGGAATGCTTCACAAATTTGTGTGTCATCCTTGCGCAGGGGCCATGCTAATCTTCTCTGTATTGTTCCAATTTTAGTATGTGCTGCCGAAGCAAACACTGATTTATTTTTTAATACATTAGCCTGGATTGTTTGCGTAACTAAAAATATCATTAACCAATGAGTTATTAAAAAATACAACTCCATACTATTTTATATCCAGTATTTATTATTCTAAGATGTAATAATGCCATTTACTAATGTCACAGATAAACCTAAGGACCCATCCACTAAGGACCCATCCAAATGTCAAATTGTAGGCTCAGAATGTATTGCTCCTAGAATTTCAGGGGAACTTGAAAAACCTGCTTAGGGTTTTTACTACTGGATTTACGATACCTGCATGTGCTGTTTGATGAAGCTGAGCAGCTTCTTATTCTTTGAATGCCTGACATGTAGTCGGGATGGGGCAATATCTTCAGGGGTAAAATCAAGCCTTTTTCTCTAAATGCCTCTTAACTTCCTAAGGGGATGTAAGTAAATTTGGAAAATAAGTTTCAAGTGTTTTTTTCGTTTCCTTTGTTTTTGTTTTCCCCAAAGGGTGAGATGATTATCAGGGATTTGGAACACAGAACTTCTTACTTTAAATTATCTGTGTCTGAGCATTGTAAGATGTATTTGGGGCTGATTGTTGCTACATTCTCAGTCTGATCCAGTTTGCAATTGTTCCCGTATAGTTGCTGTCCACAAGACAGGGAGTTAGACTGATTTACGAGGATCCTAGCCATGGCTTGCTTACATTTCTAGTGACTTTGAGTACTTGGCTTGGAAGTAATACCACAAAGTTTGCAATTCTCTGCTTGGGTCAGGATATAGCATCCTTTTGGAGAAATCAGCTGCGGTGTAAATGATGCCATTGCTCCTCGGAGTAACTGCAGGATACTAAGTGATTCAGTTCTGTGTTCCTGTCCTGCTGAATCTTCCCAGTCTATTGTTAAGAGTCAGCTTACTGTAGCAGTTCAGTCTGCTGCTAGGGACACGTTGCTTATTAGCAGCTGTTTGGGGAACGGTGAGTAAAGAAAAGTGATAACATTGATGAAATTAGGTATATAGGATATTATTTTTGTATGCAAAGAAGCCATTATCTGGAAACATCTTGGCTGTTTTTAGCCTTTTGGGGCCTTTCCCGTTTCAGCCTTTATTCCACCTTAGAAATCATATGTGGGGTTCACTTTTGGAAATAGTTTTCCCTTATTTAGTTACAAACAATGATGTGCTGGTAAATGTTTATCAACTGGCTGGAGGAGATGGAGTGAGGGAGGCTTATAGCATTTGCTGATTTCTCTGGTAAAAATACATTCACCATGGCTGATTTCAAACTACCAACATAACATCCCTGAACACAGAATTGGGGAGAGATGTGCACAGCCAGCTTTTGAAATGGCTGTTGATCCAACTAAAATATGCTGTGAGGGGTTCCTGAAATTGCCACTGGTATTAAGTTCCAAATAATTTCGTCAGGCTCTGCAAATAGAGGGCCCAACATAAGAAATCCTCCCAACCACGTTTTGCCTTCACCACTTAGATAACTGTGAAAAGTCATTTATAAAATTTGTTGCACTCTTATTATGAACCAAACACAATTCTAAGTGCTATTTGTGTTGATATTTCACATAACCTTACTGCAACTGATGGTAGGGTTAGTATTGTCATTGTATAGACAAGAAGGCTAAAGCTTAGAGAACTGAATTAGTTTGTCTAGCGCCACACAGTTTTTAGATGATGTAGCTGGGCTTCAACGCCACAGATCTGCATGGTTGCAATGCTCCTTAGTTCTATGAACTGTTCAGGATGCTTGTGGGCCTGCACTTTCTGGGTTAGTGCTTCAATTCTTGCCTTTCCCTCATCATTTTCCAGACACAGAATCAGCCTGGGGGCTTTGAAGTTGTCTCATTAGCTATCCAACTGAGCTTTCCAAGTTTTCTCTTCACACACAATATGTTAGTCCTGCCCACGTGCCTTGACCTGCCTGACTATCCTGGCTCTCTGTCCATTAGCGAAGGCAAAACACAATTAGACTTTTCATTATACAGTTGCCATCTGCTTGCGAATGCCTTTTTAGCTGTTTGGGATCCAAGGGCACTTTAAAAACCAGCATTCAACTACCAGGGAGATGTCTGAGCACCATGATGCTCTGTACTAATGCCATGATGTCCAAATATGCAAATTAGGAAGCCTAGAGTCTATCATTCCCTCATTAGGTGGCCAGGAGAGGCACTTTCTGCTTTATTGTCCAGATGAAAAACTGTATATAGAAACTGCTTCTCTTGCTAGTTCCCTAAAAATCCTTCTGTCTTCTCTCCTTCCTTTGCTCTCAGATCTATTTTAAGCTTATGAAAAACTCTTAATTTTCTGACCAAGAGCTCAGCATTTCATCACGAATGATCTTGGCACTGGTCCTTTATCAAAGGGTGGCTGGTTTGACCTTCAAGCATGAGTGAAAATCATTTAGTTTAAGAACATGTCAATAAGCAATACACCCAGGCCTTGTACATTTAATAGCATCTATCAAACATTTTCCCTTAAGAATTTGCTGACCTTCCAGTAAGCAGGTGTTCGCTGAAACACACAGGTTCTGTTCATCACATTGATCAAGAAGATTGACGTCTACTCATTTCACTAACTGATAAATTAGGTCAACAATTAGTGGAAGCAGTGGTGTAGTTTCTAGCCTCACCCTTTTGTGTTGTGCTGATAAGCACAGTGTCTCAAGTTACCTTTTAAATCCTAGAATATTATATTGCATACCTTTATTTGGTGTGACCACGGAGAGAAAAGAAAAGTATCTGTGATACAATCCTGATGTTATCTTTGTTTTAGTATCAAGGATCAGTAAATAGATAAGTCAGTTCTGTAATATCAAACATTTAGCAGTAGAATATGTTTAATGAGTTGGTCATGAAATTGTTTTGTAATTGTCATAGTATGGAAAAATGGCATGGGAATTTTGCAACTGGCATTTGGTAATTTAACAAGATAGCTTGTCAGAATGGATTTTCTTAAGAAACTAGATGTTTCCCTGATTCGGGTTGATTTCAACTTTTTAAGGGGTGACAATTTTCACTTCCTGAAAAAAACCATACTCTCATTTTTCTGGGGGAACCAAAAGGAGACTCCAAATACCGATATGAATATTTAAAATTAAAACTATAAAAGCTTCCTGAATATGTAACGAACAATTATATGTAATGGTGAAATTCACTCGGATAACTTCTAATGGCATCTGAAATTAGAAAAACAATCTGCCCCAAATAGAACAGTGAGATCAACCTATATTTTGGATTTTTTGATTAATCATTTATAAACTTTGATGCAATTCACATTACTGTCTGTAAGGTGTGACAATAATTGCAACTAGAAAGCCTGATGAAGAAAAGCCATGTGAATCAAGAGCAGTAGTTATCGACAAAGCCTACATTGGCTGCACATATATTACCTTATTTTATTGACTAAGACTCCCCCATCTTAGGGAACAAACATCATGAGACTTTTCAGGAGTAGTATACTTTTCAGTCTTTTTTAAATATTCCAAAGCTGTATAGCAATTTGATCTCTCTGTCACTGAGATGGAACTTGCAGATGCACCAAAAGACTAAACAGATGGTGTACTGGAGGAGTTTGAATACTGAAGGGCCTTACAGAATAAAAAAGCATTTTTATGAGTCCACTATGAATTAGCTGAAAGGGCAATTAATTTTCATTTATCTCAAATTCTATGAAAATATAGTGCATATCTATTAATGTCATTTTGCCAGAGGTCCTTCCAAAACAAACTGGGAATTTGCAGTGTCAATGTTCAGACTCAGATCACAGTCTGAGCAGTAACTTGTTACACCAAATTCTGGATCCAAAACTCGTTCTTCAGATGTTTTCACCATCCCATTACACTAGGTTGAAAGACAATTCATTTTCCTCTCCTTATGCAGTAGTCTTCCAAACTGCTTTATTTCCCAACTGCTAATGGTCTTTCTCAAAAATGTTTTGACAAAACAGGGAAAATATAGAGCAACTTTTTCTTAGAAATGATGGGAGCCCCTTGATATGTTTCCACCATAACCAAAATCATGAGTCATTATGTCCGAAGGCACGCAACATTTTATTACTCTGATTTTGCAGGAGAGTCTGTGATCTGAATTACTCGAGCAATGTCTTCAAAATGCAGATTCCTGGACCCCACTTCCAGGGAATTCTTTTTCATTAGGACTAGGACTGAGCTCAGGAATTTTTATATTTAAAAACCACTGCATTTTGAAGAACCCTAAGATAGTGTTTACAAAACACCTACCACTATACTTTTCACCACACAACTATCCATTATTTTTTTCCTCAGATTCTTGCTTACTCATTTAGGACTCAGCTTAAATGTAGCCTCTTTTATGAAGCCTTCCATGGATCCTGCCCCCAGGTACACAGCTATGATCTCTAGTGTTGTGATGCAATAGACTGTGGGGTGGGGGAGGTGGGGAGGAGAGGGCAGTATTTAGTGGGGTGGTTTGGATAGAATTCTCTGCCTAGGCCGAGAATAGATAATTTCTCATATTCCTAATAATATCTATATTATATGCATGTATATATGCATGCTTTCCAGTCAGAAACAAATTTCTTCTCACTGGGGTGTTGCCTTCCCCACCTGCTTAAGTTTACTTCAATGTATTCTTTAAAACACAAAAGCAAATCATATTTCCTGAAAACCCAGTTACATAGTGCTTTCTTCCACTCTTTTTTTATTTTGCCTTGCATAGAAGAGCTATCCGTAATAGTCCTATCAATGAGGCCCTGAGCGATGACTGCACATCAGGAGGCCAGAGGTCAAAAAATCTTGAGAAAAGCTTTATTTCCTCAACGAGGGAAATACAAATGAAAAAAATTCCTGGGTAATAAATAACAATAAGAGCGATTATTATTATCATTATTTAATACCTTTTTTTTCCAAATATTAGGAGTTTCTTCTAGACATTGGCCATTAAGTACATATATTAAGACTGCAGATTAGAGACTGTGTAATGTGAAGGGGAGCAGAATATGCCACCCCAAAATATGTCTTATTACTTCAAATTG